TTGCAAGTGCTTGTCTAAAGTGCTCGGTGGTTACTTCTCCCGAGAAATAGACGTATAGTGATTGTATCGTTGACTACCGGTAATATTCCGTTATCTGTTTTCATTCTTTTGGCCTCCGGTCGCATCTACCCTGCCTGCTTTGGTCGAAGTGGCGCCAGTTATATTTATGGGATATTGCCGCCTTCAAGCCTTGTCAGTTTGGTGTTCTTACTGCTCAGTTGCTTCGGTCAAGCGTTTAATGTGCATCTCAGCTCAAGTTTCCCCCTTTTATTCCCTAGTTTCACCCCATAAGTGATGCCAACCTTCCTCTCAAATGTATCTTTTGTGCCTCGGTCTACTCTTGCGCAACTCTGTACCTGGAATACCAAACCAGCGGTCTAGTAAATGTTGCTCTTTAGCTTTCCACTGTTTTCTACCCTATCAGGGTTCTTATCCGTTCCCTTAGCGCTCTGTTTCCCAGCCAAAGAAATATGGCTTGAAGTGTTGCCGATTTTGCGTGTTTCGTGTCTTGGAAGGTCCACTATGCTGTCCTTTGTGTGCATGCTTTTGCCAATTTTTAGGACCTCATGGTTTTTTAGGAGCATGTGTTCCACGTCCAGGCTGTTAACTCTTTTCTGCCAATCGAATGTTTTCTTGCTGTCCTTCCCTCGGGTTTCTATAGTGACTAACCTTTTACAATCGAGCTAAGCTATGTGATTTGATCATTAATTCACCCATACTTTTCCCTTTCGGCGCATAGTGAAGAGGAACTGAATTTCCGTCAATTCATGCGCAAATTGGCCCGTTTTCGCAAAGTTCGTACAAGTCAATCCACTGAGTTCAACAATCGAGATGCAAAGTTGCGTTTCTTGTTCGGTATGTATGATCTAGACATGGACAACATGATCTCACGGAACGAATTACTGGGAATGCTCCAGATGATGGTCGGTGCGAATATCACTATCGAACAGGTTTGTTTGTTTTCCAAGGCTTATCGTATGAACCACACAATAACACTCTGTACGGGTTAATTGGGGAGTTTTTTTTTATACACTAAGGGCACTTGTCTTTAAACCCCATTCAGTTCTCAGTTTTCGTTTGGTGGCCCCTTGTTGCTACCCTTAGAATATAATAGCCCCCACCGTCCATAAACTACAGGTGAGGCAACTTTCACTTTTTACAACCACTAACCATACACATTGGCACATCTGTTTTGATTGTTATCTTTTGGTTCCCCATTTCGATGAAAGAAAGATTAAAGGGAAGATTTGAATGTTTAGTTAAGTGTCAAGTGATAATAGAGAACTTTGGTAGACTAAGATTACAGAGAGATGGAAAAAGTACTAGCTGACGAACCTCCTCGGAATTTCCGAATATGCAAATCCCTGCTGCCTTGTAGACTAGAGGCACCTTGAACAAAAGCCAAGTGATGATGAAGACGTCACGTCGCACATTAACCACAAGAATCTTAGAAAACTCAGTCCCGCAAAATCGGATTATTCCCGAGAAGGAGCTGACCATGCCAAAGTCAACTGCGTATTTGGCCGAATCCCTTATCAAATCCAATGCACTCAGTGGGCTGATTTCGATATGTACTGCACAATGATTGAAAGAGGAGGCGTTGTGAATCAGATATAGAAACACCAGGTCATAGGTACCGAGGTATTGCAGAAATATTGTCTTGTCGTATCCTTTAAGGTCGTAAATAAAATTTCCTTCAGGTTGAAGACCAGGTCAATGAATAGAAAACGTTACAAGGAAGAATGTTGATATGATGTGCTTTTCTCCCACTGTTCTACTCAATATGAACTATCAAACAATTTCCTCGAT